AGGAGGAGGAGGAGGAGGAGGAGGAGGAGGAGGGGGAGGGGGAGGAGGAGAAGGAGGAGGAGCCCCTTTCGACCCTTTCGTGACGCCAGCGTCGTGGCGGCCGCCGCGCGGGCGCGCGCGGCGGCGTGGCGGCGCCCGCCTCAGCTGCGGCACCGCAGCTGCGCTCCGCAGCCCTCCTCCTCTGGCGGCCGCAGCTGTGGCACCGCCGTCCTCCTCTGGCGGCCGCAGCCTGCCTCCTCTGCGGCACCGCCGTCCTCCTCTGGCGGCACCGCAGCTGCGCGGGGCGGCGGGGCGGCCGCAGCACGGGCTTCACGGCCTGAACCACACCCTGGATCAGCGCGAGGTGCAAGCCCCACAAGACCTGCAGGCAGTCCAGCTGCCGCTTCGCCGCGTGCCTCGCACCGCACCGCCGTCAGGCCACCGCCGCCAGCTGGCTGGATCCTCTCGCCTCCGCCTCGCGTGTCCGACTGCCGCGAGGCACGCGCAGGTCCCCTCTCCCGCTGCTCGCCACCCTCCAGCAGGCGCCTCAGCTCTGCGAGAGGCAGAGGGGCCTCTCGCGCGGCTCTCCTTTGCCGAGGCCTCTCGCCTCGCTGCACAGCTGCCTTCTCCCTCTCGACCTCCAGCATGGCCCTCGCCCTCGCTGCCTCTGCCTCGGCGACGTCGAGGTCCTCCGCCTGCGTGTCGTACTGCACGGTGTCGTGCTGGGGCTGCACGCTGGTGTTGGCCAGCCTCGCTGCGGTCTGCAGTAGACGCTGCGCCTCCTGCTGCTGCTCCTCATCGGTGCGTGCCCTCCTCACCTGCTCGTCCGATCGTGCCAACGCTGGACCCGCGGGCAGCTCGGGGAACGCCGCTGGCGGCTCGAGGAGCACCGCCTCTGGATTTGCGTTCTGACCCTGAGCGAAGCCCTGGCCATGGGACGGGCTGCAGTGGCGACGAGCACCAGCGGCCGGCTCGAGGAGCACCGACATGGATTTAGCGCTCTGACACCTCAGCTCGCCGCCCGCGCAGATCACGACTGGTGGCTGCGTCTCTGGCGGCGGTGAGCCCGCTGACGGCTCGAGGAGCACCGCCGCTGGACTTGCGATCTGACCCCTCAGCTCGCCGTCCGCGTAGGTCTCGTGTGGTGTTGCCCGCTGTCCTGCTCCGCCCTCCTTGGCGGCCTGCCTCAGCCAGCCCTCGAGCCTGTAGTGTCCACTGCTGCAGGCTGTGTGACCGCAGCAGGGCTCCTGCAGCTTCGCGGCGATCAGCTCCGTCGTCGCTCCTCCGCACCGCTCGCAGAACCAGCGGTCTTGGTCGAGCAACCTCCTCAGCAGGTGTGACGGGTGCGACTCCACTCCGTACCTCGTGATGGTGATGGCTCTCAGCGGAGGTGGCCCCCCGCACGGCTTCTCCATCCAGTCGCGGATGGTCGCTGTCGCCGTGCTGCAGCTGACCGCCTCCCTGCAATGCTGACACCTCCATCCTGTGCCTCGCTTGTCACGCTCCAGGATGTGCGACGTCGGTGGTCTCCTGGTCGCCTCGCCGCCGAGCAGGTCGCGCTTCAAGAGGCGGTCCTGACGCCTCTGCTGCGCGAGCCTCTTTCTTGCCGTTCTCATTTCCTTGTCGTCGGGCGGCCTTCTGGCGAGCACTGCAGCGGTGGTGGCCGCGATGCGCTCTCTCACCAAATGGGCCGTGGCGCGCACCCACTCGTAGCAGCTCATCTCCGAGTCGCTGATCGCGTGCGTCGCAGCTCCTGCCTCTGCGTACTCGTCAGCTGCCTTGTTACCCGCCCAGACTCGCCTCGGCACGCCCTTCGCCATCGCCTCGTGCTCCGTCATGTGGCTGTTCAGGTGCTTCATGGTGATGTCGCTCCTGTCTCCTCCTCGCTCTCTAATCGCCTCACCGACCTGGAACCACAGGTCGCCGTTGCTGTGCCCTTGGCCCTGGGTCTTCTCCCTTTGCGCAGCCCAGCCCGTGCACGTGACCTCGCTGTCCGTCCAGAAGGTGACTCTGCCCTCGGTCGCGCGCAGGAAGCTCAGGAAGCTGTAGAGCTCGGCGCGGTTGTTGGACTGCCGAGCTCCTGGGAGAGGCCCAAAGTGTGCGCCGATCTGCTCGAACTCGTCGCCGTCGCCCAGCAGCACCCAGCCCCAGCCGCACCTGCAGTATCTCTCGTCCGCGCTGTACTCGCCTCCTGAGCCGTCCCCGCATGCCGTGAGCTCTCGCCCCTCGTCAGCGCGGAGGCGGCGCTCGGAGTTGCAGGCGCCGACGAGGTGCTCTGCGGGTAGGGTGTCGCATCTCGGCGGCACGGTCCAGCTCTTGGGGGTGATGCCCCGAAGCCAGAACGCGGGGTTGGTCTCGCAACCCTCGAGCGCCCTCCTGGTAAGGCCGCTGCTGCGCCTCACTGCCTCGCTGTCCTCCCTAGCTGTGCAGGCGCCCCAGATGCGGTGCACGTCATCCTCGGCCTCTCCGCACTCGCATCTCGCCTCGGCGCCGCCGAAGGTGTCGTGCTTGCGGCGATGCGTCCAGGTGCCTGCGCAAGCCGCGGTTAGGAGCGCGCCGTAGTAGCCGTAGCGCTCCTTCTTGGCCAGCATCCTGAGGTGGTGCTTCAGGTCCTTGACGTCCGCTCCTCTCTCCAGGCCAGCGCCGTTGTGGTGCTGCGCGGCCTGCTCCCACAGCTGATCCTGCAGGTCGTCGAGGAACGCCTCAACAATCTCGGTGTAGTCGCCTCCCTGCTCCTCCGTGCCGAACTTCCAGTAGTCGCCGTTCCTGTCGATCCAGGTGTCGGGCCCTCTGGAGTCCCAGCCGACTTCCCAGAGCAGGAGTATCATGCTGGCCAGCGGGCCACGTCGAGCTTGCCACCTCTTGTTGGCTTCCAGTCTCTGCATTCTGAAGTAGATCCTCGGCCAGGCGCGCCTCACCTGGTTGCGGATCTCGGGGTGGCGGGCCCAGACCTCGAACCACGTCTTCAGCTGCGTCCTCACTGCGGTGGCTGCGGGGTCCGTGCCCTCCAGCGCCAGGAAGGTGGTGAGGCAGCGTCCTGGCCACGGCCTCCTCAATGCCTGAGCGTACCTCCTCCTCGCCTTCTGCCTCGCCCATGGCGCCATGCCGTGCACGGTTGCGCCGTACATGTAGGACGCCACGGGTCCCTGGTGGAGAACTCCCCGCCTCTTGGCCAGCACCAGCTTTCTCAGCTTGGTGCCGACGGCTCCGCATCTCCTGAAGGCGCCGCTGGTGCGCTTCCTGTGGGTGGCGCGCCGCAGCGTGCCTCTGGCTCCTCTGTCGATGCCCAGGTCCCTGCCCTCAGTGACTGCCTGAACCTGGAGCCCCTTCTGGCGCAGAGCCCTCTGCACCGCGCGCGTCGTCCTGTAGCTGGTTGCGAAGATCACCGTCTTGTCCGCCAGCGTAAGACCCTGTGCCTCAAGCTCGTCCCTCAGCGCCATGGTGGTGTCCGTCAGCTCCTGCTCGACTGCCTTCGCGCTGCCCACGATGCGCACGCTGATGTCATCAAACCAGGCCCTCGGCATCG